GTGTGGGGGAAAGATGCTGACCCAAGTTACTGTGGAAAATGATGTGACCGAAATCTATGAGGCTAAATTAAATGAGAACTGTATGTAGTCACTGTACTCCAGTTGGTAAATTTGTTTTTTCATGGAGTATAGGTTAACAATTCCGAAACTACCGCTTTCAAGTATATTTTCTAGATAAACCTCTAACCAAGAGGAACATTCTCAACGTGGACCTTATTCCTTTACGGTAACACTGTACTATTGGTAGCCAATAGCCACGTGTGGCTAAAACAAATCAAAATGTAAGATATTCACTGGGTTTTGAAGACCTACTATAAAAAGAGTCTGTAAAATATCTCAATATTTTTATATTGATTATGTGTTGGCAATATTGTAGCTATATTGACCTAGATAAAATATATTATTAATACGAATTTTACCTCTTTCTTTTTACTATTTTTAAAATGTGGCTGCTAGAAAATTATCAATTTCACATGTGGATTTCATTTTAATCAGACGATGCTGACTTGAGAGAGCAGGGCTGTCGTCAGCAGAACTCAATTCCTCCTGGCTCTGTGATTCTGGGCAAATACTTTCCCCTCTCTGACTGTTTCGTCCTGTGAGTTTTAGGGAAGATGGTAAACCATTCTTCATGGGAACTTTTTAGCATTGTGCCTTAGGCACTCTATTACCAGCCTTAGAATAAGTATTTAATAAATAATTGCCGTTATAATTCTCAGACTGGTTCCTGTTAAAATGCAACATCTCAGCGGACACACACACACACACACACACACTCACACACACACACGCCTAGGGCACATTAAGTTGGCGATTCTGTCTCAGCCAGTTTGGAAGAGGAAAAGGCACGCACGGATGGGGAAAGACTCCCACCTAGTGGATAGCAGAGGAAGGATTTCGTCACAGAGGCTCAAGCGCGAGCTGCCCGGGGCCTGGGCGGAAGGAGCCGCGAATCCCTTTTCACTTGGCGGTGCCAATAGCTTAAAGGAAAGCAGAAGACAACCACCTTCGTCCCCTCAAAGGCTTCGGACCCCGAAGAGAGACACCCGGAAGAGCTAGATCAGGCTGTGCCTAGAGCTAGGGAGGGGATGCGAGAAGGAGGCAAACCGAGGGAGGTGTGACTCGGCTCGGGTTAGTGGTGTCAACGAAGACAGGCAGCAGGGCTGGCCCAGGCAACACGGAGACGTTAGGCATTGCTGTCGGTAATAATTAACTCTGTACAGAGTGTTGCTTTCACAGAGGACACTACCTGCAAATCTCCCAGTAACGCATTTTGACAAGGAGGAAACGAGCATGGAGAGGCGAAGGGATCTAGCCAGGGTCCCTGGGAGTGTTTAAACAAGCTCTGAACAACTAACTATTCGGCCCAGCCCAGCTACGGTACCCTTCTAGGGATTTGGTCAAATTCTTAAATCCACGGGGCCTCGTTTTACTTATAAATTGAAGGAAGAGGTTTCTGCCCACAGCACAGGGCTGTTTTTAGGGTTAAATGATAAAACGAGTAAGGAGATGCACATGGAAGAGGGGATTGTAAAAGTTGCCACTGGAGATTCCCATGAAATTAGATGATCGCAGTCTTGGGAGTAAAATTATTTTAGAACACTCTAACTAAGCGGTCACTTCAGTGATGGAGACCAGTGTCTGGCACAACCATGGGGACAATTCGGGGGCTTGGGTGGAGCGTTTAGGTACTTCCTGAACAATATCATTTGGAATATCTCCTCCTATCCTGCAGTGGCCTAGGATCAGGAGAGATACAGGTGTTTATGGAAGCTCTTAGTTCGTTCATTGAAAGAGAGTCTATCTGTTCCTTACACCCAAAGAAGGCTTCAAGTCACAGAATTCCGTGGCCATCCCTCACCCCTGCAACTGATAATCTCAACACTCTCTTGAACAGATGTCCCTCCTGAACTGCCAGTTCCTCAAGAGTTACCAAGAACAGCGCCCGCCCCACTTGGTCTTGAGCTTTATCACCATGGGCTATGTCTGGCAGGAAGGAGAGACACAGCCTAAAGAAGTAAGGGACAAATAAATACCTGTCTTGTCACACTCTCTTCTTGGCACAACAGTACTCCTGGAAAGATGGGTCCTTCCTTGTTCTTTTCTTGGGGTGTCAGTTGAAGGAAAGGCAAAGGGTCCATTTAAATGACTTTTGCCCCTAATTAGGAGGTTAATTTTCTTTAGAACTAGTAGCCTTTTTATTACTGTGTGAATCTATCTTTTCTGACACCCTCTTCCAAGAATGTTGCATTTGAAAGCAAGTTTTGAGATCTCATTTAAAAAACTTAATGATAGCTTAAATTTTATAGCATTTTATACTCCCATACACCTAATTTATCTCAGTCAGTTTTCACAACCCCATAAGGTAAATAGAGCTATGCTGTGCCCATTTTACAAACAGCTGAGTACTATAGAAGTCCAAGGTCAGATAGCAAGTTAGTGGAAATTCCAAGGCCAGAACCCAAACTTAATGTCACTAATATAACCTCCTCCCCCCAGAAGGACACACTGATATTCACAACACTAATTTTTACTTTTGTTTAATACTACTTGCTATCTATCAATTATCATGTCTTTGTGTAACATTTTATAGTTTCAACCTAAAACTTGAGACATAAAATCTCTGAGTTCCACTATTTGCAGTGTAAAGAACTACTCTCTTTCATTTTATATAAATGTACCTTTTTCCAGAAACGAGAGTGGCTGTTGTTCCAGCACTCCATGGTTAAGTGAGCAGCCTATGACTGTTTTGTTTGCCTGCTTGAGCCTACCTCTTACCTCTCAAGTAAACACCTGAGATTCCATGTGAGGAAAAAAAAAAAAGGAAAGTGAGAAAGGAGAAAAAAATATAGTGCGGCTTCTGATTTTTTAAATGTCAATATATCTAATTTTTAAAAATTGTGTGTCTGATATTGGTAAGTTTAAAATCTACGTATAAAACATCCCACTGGGTTTCTATACCCCACCTGCTCTCTAAACCATAATCCTAAATCGGGGAAGAAGTAGAGAAGGCTGACAGGAGATATACTCTCCAGCTTCAATATGCACCCATGCACCCCCACCCTGCAGCCTTGGGTCCTGTCTTTGTGTCTCCTCTGACTTTTCAGCTAAGTAGATACCTCTCTTCTGCACTGTCCTCCTCATCCCATGCCTCCTGAGGGAAGCTGACCTAAGTTTGAATTTTAAAACTCTTTAAAGATCTGTATTGTTTCTACCTAAGAAACAGTTCTGTCTCAAGTCTATTTAAAAATCTAAGGAAAAATAAAGGCAGAAGTAGGGCTTTGTTAATAGAGAGTTCTATCTTATAGGAAATGAAAACTAGGAATGGGAGAAAGAGAGCATAAGAATTTTTTTTGTGGGGTGTGGGGGGTGGGATCTAGATGAGCCTTATCCACAAATAGAGACTGCTCCATGGACATGAGTAGCTTTTCTGGATTCGTGGGCTGATGAGACTCTTCAGAGTGTTCCTCAGATAACTCAGAGGTTGAACGGGGATTGTCTTGAGGTGACTTACTTGAAGTCGTTATTGGGTTTGACTTATAAAGTGACTGATAGAGTCAGCTGCCACACAGGATGAAGTGTTCTGTCCTCCGCATTTGTCTCCCTGACTGACACATAAACACATACACAAACATATGTGTGTATACATACACACACACACATATATACATGCTCTTTGTTTTATACTCACAAAACACATATCTATGCATATCTAGATAGATTGATACATATAGATAGATAAATAGATTATTTTCCTACTGTTCATCAACTCGGGCCCCAATTGGTAATGGGCTCGAGCTTAAACTGGTAATGCCCTTTTTTGCATAATCAATATTCAGGTATAATTTTATACTATGTGTACATGCATGTGTTCCAATTTTGTAATTTTTCACATAAATTTTAGATTGTACTCAGAAACAATATGTCCACCAGGTTGTTAACAGAAAAAATGAGAGTGAAGAATGTGCGTGTCACTCAGATAGTTCCAGTTTCATCCCCAAGTCGTTTCTACTACAGGATTGCTGGAATAAGAGACAGCCATGATTAACTTCCTCTGCTGCATTCTTTCTAGAATATGCTAATTGTCTGGATTTATATCTGAAAGATTCTACCAAGAAACCTTGCCTTGTCTTTTGTCGAAATCTCCAGGAACTTGAAGATCCCTCCTATCCTCGTCCACTTGGACCTGGTGCTGACAAACTGGACTACAAAGAATCTTGAAAGGTAAGAAAAAGAGCTTTAGATTTGAACAGATGGAAACTCAGTAAGGGGCGGTCAGTATTGTCTACTGGAAAGGCTCAGGCTTTTCCAGCTACTTGGTGATTGAAGATGTTCATATGTATTGTCTTCTACAAGGTTCCAGAGAAGGGGTGAACTTGAACACAGATTCAAAAATCACAGCTCCCACAAGTGTCCTCTTAACCTTCTTTGAATACACTGATGAAGACCATTTTTATTTGTTTGCTGTCATATCAAATCTGAGTTTCTCCATCTTTTCTTCAGCTCTTGCATAATCAGTCTTCACTCATTCTTTCTTACCAAATTGTTTACTATTCCCTAACATGTCCTCCATTCAAGTCAAGTTAGGACCAGGAATTTTATAAAGGATCATTATATAGTGATCATAAATGAATGATTATGTATGAGAGTAGGTACTCTAGGTATGTTGGATTGAGAATTTGATTAATAATGCTATCTGTTCCACCTAGCTGGCATCAATCCTTTGACAGGTTGCAGATATTGGCAGTCGTCTAAAGAAGAAATAGCATGAATTTTTAGAAAGAAGAAATTCTAATAAATGGGGTGGAAACGGCAAAGTATAAAATTTCCCCTTGAACTTCATTATCACAGCCCAATTTTTTTCATACTGTAAATGTGAGAGAGAGAGCACTTTTGTGACTTACAAATAGCTAAAAGGACATTTAAGTTAGATGTGGGGAAGAACTTCCTTAGCATAAGGGTTGTGGGTAAACACAGGATTGCCAGAGATAATGGGAATGTGCTTTAAAGAATTAAATAGTTAATAAATAACATACCTTTTAGAACTAATTTATGTGTCCCTTGGAGGAAGTGAGATTGGGCCATCTCATCTCACTAAAGACTTCTGAGTCCTAGGATTTTATGTTCTCTACTATTATGAACTATGATCTTTGACCGAGTCTGCTTTAAGAACAAAATTGGTGACCCATATTCCCATGGAAAAGTGCTGAATCTGGCTCAGAATTCAGGCAGAAAGAAATAATAAATATATGTGAAGAAATGATTCTGGTCAAGACATTGAATATTTAATAAGCTGAATCTCTGATTCAAAGAGGAGGAGAGGAGTGGGGAAGTTTGAAGGGAAAAATAGCTGGACTGGGATAGTAAAGCAAAAAATATAGCAAAAAGCTAGTTTCTCAGTGGATGACAATGCAGGGATAGTTTAATCCCAGAGGTGCAGACACAGTCCTGGGGTTCAGGAGTTATTCTTCTTGGTTATTATTTTTTGGAGTCTCTTAATAGGCCTAGCACAGGGCTAAATGCAATGAAGAAATGAAAGTAATGGAAGCAATGCACCCAAAGTAGTTAAATAACAAAGCAAAGCAGGACATGACAAATGTCAGAGTGATACAAACAATAAACCCTTTAGAATTTCAAATCAATGCAGGCTTTAAAAATCAGGAAAAAGCTTGGTGAGAGGGTAGAATTTGATCTAAAGTAGGTGTTAAAGGGTGAGTAAGAGTAGAATAACTACAACAAAAGTATGAGTTTGTGGTAATTACAAAAATAAAAAAGAAGTAAGATGGTTTATCATGATGCCACAGACTAAATGTTCGGGGCTGATACAGGAGTTGAGCTTTGGCTCACTCTTTGTCAAACAGTGGTCCATAGTCTAGTCACAATTGTGACATCCAAAGTGTGCTTAGATATGTGTGTGTGCGTACAGGTGCATTTGCACATAAATGTGTGTGCCTGTGTACATGTGACCCTAGAAGGCATATCTGATTTACAAACCGACTTGTTCCTTTATTTTCTTTTTCTGTTCATCGTTGTCATTAACTGAAATTTGTCTAGACCCCTGGACATCAAGTAAGTTCTCAGAAATCCTTCGCTCACTTTAGAATCAATGTTAACTTTAAAAGCTTACAATAAAACAAAAAAGAAAGCATATCAAATTGTATGTGTAGTATATAAGCTATGTTAAAATGCATGGAAAAATAAGGCTAGAAGGGAATGTGCCAAAAATTAACAGCCCAAAATTTAACAGTGGTTGCCTCTGCTTTGTAGGGATTAGGGAATTACTTCTCTTTATTATATTTTCCAATCCGTGTGTAATAAAACAAATAAGTGCAATGCAAGAAAAAAAAAACTTCACCAATTCTTTAATGATCTGAAAAAGATCTCTCATTTCACTGTAACTTCTATGAAAGGTCAAACTGCAGTCAGTTACTGCTACAGCTACAGAAGGGTTCCTTTGAGATATTTTGTTACATGGACCGAAGCTCAAGGGGGCGAGTCTGGCCCAGACATCCTTAGACACATGTTTTCCTGGAGAACAAAGTTCATCTCTCAATTAACATTGCCTCTCAACTCAATAAAGAGGTTCAGTATAAAAACTGTAGCTCAGGAGACGGAGAGGTGGAAGGATGAAGACAGCATTTCCCACACGGATGTAACTGCTGGAACAATGGCGTTCTCGACTTAGTTTTCTTCAGTGTTAGTTTTCATTCCCCCTCATGTTTAATATGTTAGAGGCAGAAGTGATTTATGGAGTACAGGTTTTAGGTTTTGTAAACTGGATCTACATCTGGAATATTTGAATCTATCCATAAGATGATCACAGGTCATTTTAGAGTGATCCCTCTGTAACAGTCTTTCAGTGCTCATTCTTTATACAAAACAAAACAAACAAAGCAAAACAAATTACTGATTAGAAAAAGCACTAGTCTGAGTTATGAAACTGTTAAAAAAAAAAAAAGGAAATAAGAAAGAAAAAGGCAAGGAATTAGCTGTTGCTTGTGGTCGTTGTATCTCTAAGACTATGCTCCTGACAGGAATGGAGTGATTGGCCGTAGATTGGTCCTGTGAAGAAACGGCAATACCTATTAACTTGCGCTTCAGCTATTCCATTGGGAGGATGGTCAGGAACCATCAGGGCCACACAAGGCTTTGAAAGTCCTTAGGTCAAATGAACATGGGCTTGAAAAGATCTGATCTCTTTTCTTCTTCAATGTTGCTGAAGGTAGATGCTCATCTTTAGGGCTTTTCTACAGAGGAGAAAGCTGTTCACTGATTCTACCCTGCACTTAACAGTTGTCTAACTCTGAGGGGACCTATGGGCCATGCATACTTTTGGCATCCAAACCTCTCTATCCATACTGCCATCTCCTTCCCAAGGAACTTGGATGTCATTGTTTCATTTCCTGGAGGAGAAAGCCTATGTGGTTTTATACTGGTAACTGTTTTGGTGAAGAAAGCAGCAGTACCTGGGATTAAGGTTTCTTCTCATTCAGCACTTTTTTTGTCTAAATCAGAAATCAGTTTGAGCTTTAATTCCCACCCGGTCCCTTTCCCTTCAGTAAATGAACCAAAATTGACCAAAATTGATGAGTATAGGCCTTGTCCTATCGGTTTATATCTGAGGAGCGATCTAAGTTCTAGCCCACAGAGATATTCCCTTCTCCAACTCCTGTAAAACTTGGAATTAGATATTGGTTCATTCAACATACATGCATTGTCTAGAAAATAGAATAACTGGAAGAACAAGACAGACATTATTCTGGCCCCCACAGAAGCTCATGATCTGGAGGCAGATGGGTTGATGTATGGAGTAATAAGAAAAAAAAAAAAAAGCAGTGTTTCATGAAAAAAACAAACAAACAAAAAAAAAACATCTAAAACTTAATTCAGACCTAAAGGGTCAGGTAGGCAAAGCTTCCCAGTGAGACTTAAAACCTGAGCGATATATAAGAATTAAGCAGAGAGAGAGAGAGAAAAAAAGAGAAAAAAAAGAGAGCGACAGACAGAAAGGCAGATTTATTCCTGGCAGGAAATGCTGTGCAAAGGCTCCGAGGAAAATGAACCATCGCTGAGATTACCTAGCCCTGGGAGGTTCCAAAATGAATTCCTTCAGAGTTCAGGGAGCTAACAGAAAAGTTGAGTGTAGGAAGATAGTGGAGCAGCAGCTGAGCAGGGAGAGAATTCATGCCTTGCCTGAAGATAATTAAGTTACGTTTGTCTTTCCTCACCACCTTCCCTTATGGTAAGCATATTTTGAGCACTTACTGTATCCTTAGTAGAGCAACTAGTCATGGCATAATTATTATAACACTCTCTTTCATTCTCAAAAGTGATACTATATGATCACTTTACTTCTCATCAGTGTGTTTAGTCCCTCAAAAATAAAATAAATAAATAAATAAATAAAATGAAATAAAAATTGGTCTTTCAGATACAATTCAGAAAAGGTAGAGACTAGGAAGGCTTCGTGATGGAGAGGGCTCTGAGCTGGGGCTGTATGGAATCTGAGTCTAAGTAAGACAGAGCTCAGGAGTGAGGGTGCCCTAATTCAAGATGCAGGCATTGAAATAGTTATAATGTGTGATAGGTACAGAAGAAGGAAAGAGAAAAATGATAGAGTTATGCCCCTGAGAGGTATAAGAAGTAGTAGTCAGTGGACAGATCTAGAAAAACCTAACCAAGGATCTATCTGGGAGATGCCCAGAGATATCCTCTTTTTCAGGTAGACCTCATAGCAAATCTAGTTCAAGAGCACTTCCACGGGAGCCCTGACACACTCTGGTAGTGAGAGAGGTGCCCTTCCCCTGGAATTTCACTGCGCTGCTGCTCACTCTATCTCAAAGGGCTTTAAGTGAATGCTAATGAACTGAGTGAACGAATCTTCTCCCCAGGCACTCGTTCAGGCAGTGAATACCATCTCGCAGCTCAGCCAGGACTCCCTGCTCCAAGCCCTGCAGCAACTGAGACTCTCCATCCAGGACATCACCAGAACCTTACGACAAATGCACGGTATGGGGCTCCTGCGGGTTGAGGGCTCTGCTTGGGGTCAAAGGGCCTGGAGGTTGGACAACATCCACCAGATGGCGCTGGCGTATTAGCTTTGTTTTATGGTACGCGACCACTGTTCAAGCTATTAAGGAATGATTTCAATTTGAAGAGATATTCTTGTAGTTTTGTCCTTTTTAAATAAATGTATTTTTTTGTGATTAGGGTAGTTTCCTTTTTGGTGGTCACACATTTCTTTGCATGTCGAGGTCTTGCATGAAGTTCAGGAGGAGGGGTGAAGCACACAACAGTGGCTGCACGTACTCCATCCAGCACTGAGGCTGCTGCGGAGTTGTCCTTATGCTCTCGAATGCCCCTTTCATTCTTTTTTTCTCAGGTGGCGCTTGAGATGATTGACCTTGGCTTTAGGCCTAATCTGATTGGCCCTTCCAGCGCTCAATTTCTGTGGCTAGTGCAGGAATGAGTTTTGATAGGAGTGGCCAGTTCAGTGGCCCACTCTTCTCGTGGTTGATTACATTTATTCAGATGACTACATTCCATCTCCAATGTAAGGACAGCTTTTCAACCTACTATATCAGAAGAATCTAAAATATGTACAGGGTGTGTGTGTGTGTATGTGCTTTTTTTTTTTATTTTTTATTTAAGTAAAATTGACCTATGACATAATATAAGCTTCAGGTGTGCAGCATCATAATTTGACACTATACACAGTACAAAGGGATCACCACCAAAACTCTGGTTACCGTCTATCACCGTACAACTGATTCCCTTCACTCATTTCTCCCACCTCCCAAATCTTATCCCTCTGGTAATGACCAACTGTTGTTTTATGTATCTGTGACTTTTTTGTTTTATTTTGTTCGTATATTTGTTTTCTTCCTTTTGAGTTTTTTTTCATATTTCAATATGAGTGAAATCATATGGTATTTGTCTTTCTTCATCTGACTTATTCACTTAGCATAATAACCTCAACATCTATCCGTGTTGTTGCAAATAGCAAGATTTAATCCTTTTTTAGGGCTGAGTAGTATTTCATTGTATATATATAACACAACATCTTTATCCATTTATCCATCAATGGATACTTAGGTTGTTTCTGTATCTTGGCTATTGTAAATAACGCTTTTCAAATTAATAATTTTTTATTGTTTAGATAAATTCCCAGAAGCGGAATAGCTGGGTTATATGGTAGTTCTTAATTTTTTGAGGAATCTCTATACTGTTTTTCATAATGGCTGCACCAATTTATAATCTCACTAACAGTGTATGAGGGTTCCCTTTTCTCCCCATCCTCTCTAACGCTTGTTATTTCTTGCTTTTTTGATAATAACTGTGCTAATGGGTGTGAGGTAATATCTTGTCACAGTTTTAGTATGCATTCCCCTAATAATTAGTGATGTTGAACATCTTTTCATGTGCCTGTTGGCTATCTATGTGTCTTCTTTGTAAAACTGTCTATTCAGATTCTCTGCCCTTTTTTTAAAAAAAATGGGTTGTTTTTTAAAATGAGTTGTTTGAGTTCTTTATGTATTTTGGTTACTAACTAACTCCTTATCGGATATATGATTTGCAATATCTTCTCCCATTTAGTAGATTATCTTTTTGTTTTGATGCTGATTTCTTTTTTTAAGCAAAAGCTTTTTAGTTTGATGTAGTCCCATTTGTTAATTGTTGCTTTTGTTTCCCTTGCCTTTCAAGTCAGATCCACTAAAATATCCCCAAAGCTGACGTCAAGGAGTTTATTGCTTATGTTTTCTTCTATTAATTGTATGGCTTCAGGAATTACAGTTAAGTTTAATCCATTTTGAGTTAATTTTGGGGTATGATATAAGATAGTGGTCTAGTTTCAATCCTTTGTATGTGGCTGTTCAGTTTTTCTAACACCATTTATTGACGAGATTATTCTTTCTCCATTAGATATTCTTGACTCTTTTGTCATATATTAATTATCTATATATGTGTGGTTTTATTTCTGGGTTCTTAATTCTGTTCTATTGATCTGTGTGTCTGTTTTTATGCCATCACCATACTGTTTTGATCACTGTAGGTTTGTAGTATAGTTTGAAATTAGGGAGTGTGATGCCTTCAGCTTTGTTCTTTTTTCTGTATAAAGGCTCACTCTTGTCGCCTTGGAAGTAGACATAGCGTGCAGTATGTGGTGTGTGGATGAGGCACCCTGAGCACTAGGGGTGCCCATGGGCCAGTTGGGGGGACCTGCAGGCAAGGCATCCCTGACAGCTTGTGGGAGGTTCTTTTTGTTTATTTGTTTTAACACCTACAGCACCTGGTATTCCTAGGCGGTCTACCATCCTAGTACTAACCAGGCTCGACCCTGCTTAGCTTCCAAGAACAGATGAAATCGGGTACATTCAGGGTAGCATGGCCGTAGACTCGTGAGAGGGTTCTTGATGGAGTCTATTAGGTGGTTAGTAGGATCCACATCCCTTTAATATCCTCCAAGATCCCTATTTGGCACTCTCCCACAGCCTTACCCTCCCGCCACCTCCAGTTTTCCCAGCCAGGCAGCACACATCTCAGTATTCTGGATAGAGTGAGAAAGAAATGGGTCTCTGGAAGCATTCCATGCATCTGGGGAAGCTAGGCACTCATTCATATGCTTTCACTTTCCCTTGCAGGAGAAATCACAGGCCAAGAAGGTCTTTTATGACACTGAGCTGTGCTGCTTTGTGGGAGGGGTGATGTAGGTAAAGTGAAATGTTCTTCTTACTCTCTTGAGAGCATTCAGTCTCAGAACTTTTAGTGGTATACTGGAGCTTCTTCGTTGGACTTCTGGACTTCCACAGAAGCTCTCTTGTCCATGGCCGACTGTCTAAATCAGTGTTCTTGGGGGAAAGATGGTAGAAACTCTTATTCTACCATGATGATGATGTCACTCCTGCATTTCCCTGATTTTCAAAGAATTAACTGTCTTCTGTCTCTGTCTTTGTCTCTATCTCTGTCTCTGTCTCTCTGTCTCCCTCTCCCTCTCCCTCTCCCTCTCCCTCTCTTTCTCCCTCTCTCTCTCTCTCTTCCCCTCTCCCTCTCTCTCTCTCTCTCTCTCTCTCTCTCTCTCTCTCTCTCTCTCTCTCTCTCTCTGTGTTCATGGGTGCTTACCACTCATGTCCCTTGTTTTTCTAATGGTCTTTTTTCTTTTACCTATGGCTTTTTATGAGTTTTTGTACACTTTGAGGCTGATTTTTGTTATGTGTTACAAATGTTGTGGTTTGTCTTACGCCTTTTGAAAGCAGAAGTTCTTAATCTAAATATAGTCAAAGTACCTGTCCTTTCTTTTGTAAAAGTCTATGTTTCAGGAAGTCTTGAATAAGATATTTCAAAATCATAGGTCATAAATATATTTTCCTCCATTTTCTTTAGAAATTGTTGTTTCATCTTTCACATTTCAGTCCTTAATTCACATATAATTATTATCTATATGTAGTATGACATAGGAAATAAAATCTGTGAGTAATCACTAATTTCCAATATTAGCACAGTTTTTTTTTTAATCAGTTTTATTTTTTTAAATGACTGGATCTGTTTCCAGTCTCTCTATTCTGTTTTATTGTCAGTTATGTTTCCCCACACTAATATCATCTGTCTTAACAACTATAGCTTCATAATATTTGACATTTTCAGGTAGGGAAAACCCTTTCACATTGTTCTTCTTTTCCAAGGGTACCTGTCTTGTTTTTGAGCCTTTGCCATTTATGTAAACTGTCAGAATCAGCTCGTCAAATTCCATTTTAAGATCTCTATTAGAAATTTTGGTCAAATTGTATTAAATTTGTATGTTAATTTGGAAAAAAATTACATGATTTCGATATTATATCCAGTCTTTTTGTCTTATGATCAAGGCAGGTGGAGAGGTAGAGAATAGCATGAAAATATCAACTAAGATTCCCGGATAAGCTACCCCAAATCATGTCTTCATATTATATTCGTCACATGACCTGAAGTTTATCCAGATAGACAACTCTTTTTTAGGTACATTTCTTCTCTTAAATATTGTATGAGTTTTCTTGATGTTCTTGAAATGGACAGACTTTTCAAATCTTTAAAAAATTTCTTTCAAGATAAAAGACTTAAATATTTTCTGTTTAAGTTACTTTATATATTAAGTTACTTTATATATTACTTTGATTTGCTTTATCCTAAGTTACTTTATACTTTTGTTTCCGGTGAATATGGTATCTTTGATTTAACAAACCCCTGACTGTTTGTTGTTGGTTTATAAAATGAAATTGACATTTGACTATTAACCTTAAATCTAGCACCTTGATAAACACTCATTAATTCTAATAATTATCTGCAGCTTATCTGGGTTTTCTATGTAGAGATCATATCATTTGAGAATAATGTTTTCTTGTTTCTTCATTTACAGTACTTACAACTTTTATTTCTTTTTAGCTTTTGTTTCTCATCCTTACAGCTAGGACTCCTAACACAGTATTGAATGTATGTGCTGTTCCTTGTTGTGTTCCACATTTTAAAAGACTTATTTTTAATATTTCAACATTATGTACAATGTGTACTGTAGGCTTTCAGTGGATTCCTTTTATCATTTCAAGGATGTTTCCTCCTGTTGTTAATTAGCTAAAATGTTTTATTTGTTTATTTTAATCACGAATGGATTTTTTTTACATATGTTGAATTTTTTTGTACGTTAGAATTATTTTATATCTATTGACATGGTCATTTGACTTTTCTTTATTAAATATGGTAAGTTGAGTAACATATTAAAATAATGCCATTCATTACTGCTTCAGCAAAAAATTATACATAATTTCAGCATTTTTATGGGAACAGAGCACCAAATGGATAAGATCAAGAAATGTTGCTTAGAGAAAAGTCCAGCACAGAGCATTCTCCCAGAGGAGCAGAGAGAGTGTGACATCATTCAGGAGCATCAGGAAACCATGAGACTAAAGGAAGACATTTAGTAATCCAAACCCATGGGGCTTCAGAGAAAATAGAGATGGAGGACCAGAGAGTGGGTATGATGGTAGAAAAGGGAAATTGATGGCGTGGAGATGTCATTATTTAAGTCTCATAAAAAAGATGTTTTTTTCATTTTTCATTTTCTCTCAGAAACAAATAGACATAGACAGGAATGTGGATAAGAGAAACATGCTTGGTCACAGAGGGGCCCTATTATGTGAAGAAAGAGAACAATTTTCAAAAGTTGATGAAAATAATTTTAGTACAAATGTGAAAATCTGCTTACTTATATAGTAGTTGATACACTAGTAGAATCAGTTATCTCCAAGCATTGGCTTAGATTCAAAAAAGTTGCAGAGATTAATGAGTGCAGCTAAACATGGAGTTAAATGAACCTGTATCTGATCTGTTGTGGCAATCCCTGGGCAAGAGACTGTCCACTCCTCGGTCCTTTGTTGACTGTACAGAACTTGGCTTGAGCCAAATGGCTTTAGTTTTACTCTCTGTGAAAGCCGTGGAAGAGGTAATTCTTTCTCTTCATTTTTCTCCTTTCCACTTCTCATGTTCTCTCAAACATGATGTCTGTTTAAATTATTAACTTTTTAAAGATGGCCTTGCTCTCTCTTTATGTTGTTGTTAAGTACAGAAAAGGAAAGTACCACAAATAGAAAAGGGCAGCATTTGGAAAAGTTTAAAAGTTCTGTAAGCCCCAATGAGGGCAACTACAGAAGAGAACATTCCATTCACTCTTTGCTGCTGCTTTCATTCCAGGTTTTCATGTAGATCAGATAGAAGCAGCAGCCCCAGGAAAGCAGAAGGCCCCATGCACATGTAACCAATTCCTTTTTTTGCCTGTAGTAAAATTCACATTTCGATTGTTCCTCTAGATTATGTAGATCCAGACATATTTTAGGCAGTCATCCAGATCTTCCTCCCTGGGTAAGTATAGTTCAGCTGTTTTCCTGCATGAGGTCTCTGTAGTATTTTTCAAATTTAGTGGGGGAAACAGACAGAAGTTGCCTAGAGTAAGTAACCAGGTAACCCTTGCTAGCAAAGTAATCACCTGGATCCACTCTTGGATAAAAAAAAAAGTGGGTATCATCAACATGATAAATGACATTAAAAGCTGAATATTTAAATTTAGAGTAATTATCCTTAAGCCATTATATTGAAGTTATTTGTCCTTACCTTTCTTAGACCTCCACCTTATGACAGAAAGGGAAAAGAAAGCCCAGTATGGCACCCACAAAGCTCAACCATCTATATTCATTATCTCCCCTTGTTATTGAGGCAGGTAGAGGCATAGACAATAGTTTAAAACTTTCTTTTAACATTCCTAGAAGAGCTACCCCAAGCCAGTTTCTCATATTCCCGTTGTACTCTCCTTTTGTCACATGGCCTGTAATTTCTCCAGAAACAGAACTCTGCTTTTAGATACAGTTCTTATTTTAAAAACATTAATCATACCTTGACATATTTTAATGAGATCACTTTCCTATTCACTTTAGCTGAGAGAAATTTTGGGGTTTGTTTTAATGGTGAAAAGTAAAAGGTGGAGGTCGTGGATGGATGAGGTAAAAAATATGAAATAGATATCATCTAGTGTGCCATCTTGATAACTAGGAGATGCCTGAAATGTGATTAATAGAATCTGAAGCTGTGCCTGCATCTAACAAGAGACATGCCAAATACCAAGATCAATAAATGTATTGATTTATTGGTTTAAAGGGGTATTCCATTGTTGCAAGAATGAAGTGACAACATGTACTAAGTATTTTCTTTAGATTGGGTAGATCTGGAGTGTAAGAAAGTGGCCTCTCTCTAGGGAAGGCTAGCCTATGTGGGAATCCCTCCTTATACGGTATAGAGAGTGGAAGCAGGAGTTTTCTAGAGAATAACTTGAAAGTAATGGGTACCTGGTTTATGGTGAAAAGAGAAAAAAAAGGGAAGGGCACAGAAATAGAACTGGGAGTGTGTCTCAGAAATGAGACTTTCACTTCTGCAAAGAGAATATCTATCCTGTAGAACTCCTCTTGCTCTCTGTATTTTTTTTGCGTGTAGTAAGGGTCAAGATAAAATCTGATTGTTGAAAAGAGATTCTAGCAACAAACATTAAGCAAAACATGTGGATATGCTTTAGTAGGATTAGACAGAAGAAAAAAGAGTCATTTAAAAAATGTTTTAAAATAGACTGGGATTTGGGAAGCACTTAATTTTGGAAAACCTCTTTGTGTTTTCCTTTGTTCCCTACATTTGTATTAGTTTACCTTGTTACATAACAAATGACAACAAATTTAGCAGTTTGAAACAACACACATTAATTGTCTCAAGTTCTGTAAGTCAGAAATCAAGATGAATTCAGCTTGGTTCTCTGCTTAGGGTCTCAAAAGGCCAAGTCAAGGTGTCTGCTGGGCTGAGCTGTTATCTGGAGAATCTGAGGAAGAATTCACTTTCAAACTCATTCAGGTTTTTGGAATTTAATTCTTTGTAGTTGTGAAACTGATGTCTTTGTTTCCTTGCTGACTGTCAGACAAGAGCTGCTCTTAGCTTCTAGGGGCCTGCCAAATTCTTTGTCACTTGGTCTCCTCCAACTCAGCAATGACACTTCTTATCTTTCTAGTATGTCAAATCTCTTTGACTTCTTCTGCTACTAGCCAGAGAAAACTCTCTGCTTAAAACTCTCTGTATGGTTAGATTCAGCTCACTTAGATAATCTAGAATAACTTCCTATATTAAGGTCAACTGATTAGTAACCTTAATTACATCTGCAAAGTCCCTTTGCTTTCCTATTTAACATGTCATATCAGCAGGCATGATCTCTCATAACATTAACAGTTCTAAGAATTAGAATGGAAATCTTGAGGCGATGTTTTTGGAATTTTACCTATCATGAATAGATGGGCACCAGAGAGTGGCTGTTTTCATTAAAATAAATTCTGGATCAGTGATACAATTTATCTATGATCTACATAAATGTGTCCCCTCCATTTCTGATCCTCAAAAATATTTCCCACATAGCTAAACTAAAAGACCAGCACCAAATTCTAAGTGTACTGACAAGTGTTGATGACCAAAAACATTTAAATTTTGACAGTTTCCAATAGGGTTATCTTGAAAAATCTAAATCTGGTCTTGTGTTCTTGATTTGTCCTATGTTTGATTTATTATTTTTATTTGATTTTTAAAATGTTTTTATTTAGGAGAGTTGAGAGCTTTTTTAAATTTCCCACTCACATTAAATTTCTCAGAGAAGTTAATAACCGCTGTGGAAAAAAATGTCATCTTATAATTTTTTTCTTTTTAAACGTTCCTTTTTCTTGGGTTTGCTAGAAATATACTACAAGAAAGGCTAAAAATAACCTTGCCTACAGAGATTTGAAAGAAAAATAATTCTTTTCCCGCACAAGTAGCAGTTTGGGCCTGAGAATGCATGGGAGCGATTCTTGGATTTTTCAGAGAAACTCGATTTCCCTTCCTCAGATAAATCTCATCATAGGTGGAGAATGTGGGTTTTGAAAATAGATGCCTTTCTATTACTTTTTTGACTCTCATGCTGGTATTTATCATCTTCAATGTGGCTTCAACATATCTTCTTCAGTTTAGGACACTAAAAGGAGATTGACTGACATCTTGGCCATTTGAACATCTGATGGCTCTTTTAAGCCAGCCAGATCTTTTTAAGATATATGCTTGGGTCTACATATTCTAGATATAGGATACATATTTATAGAATGTTATTTTTTCCATTCATTTATTCATTGGATATTTAATGAGTATTTACCATATGACAGGCACAGGTCTAGGTGCTGGGAATGAAACAATAAAACAAAACAGCAGCTTCATTCCTGTGGAGCTTGCATTTATTTTAATGATGGAAGACAGACAATGAAGAAATAAGTATAATAAAAGTAAATATCATAATATATATGTTATGACAATAGGTGATAAAAGGAAATGTAAAGTAGGATACAGGGCATCATGGAGTGTTAGGGGTGGTGACCAAAATTTCTTATTTATTTATTGTGATCCAGGAATCACACACTTCTAAGCGTATGAGCAGATACCTGAAAGAAGTGAGGAGCGAGCCACCTAGACACTTGATGCAAGCAAAAGGAACAGAAATTATTATAACTCTGAAGTGGGAGCATGTTTGTCATGGAGGAAGAGCTGTAAGGAGGCCAGCAGTGCAGGCCAGCAGTGCTTGGATGGAGGAAGCAAGAGGGGTGGGAATGAGAAAGATACAAGTCATAGTGGGAGACCAGATTATGTAGGGGCTTGTTGGCTTCTTTTCTGAGTGAAGCAGACCATGCTGGCCAGTTTGAGAATAACATGATTCATCATAAGTTTCAAATCATCACTCTATCTTCTAAGTGGAAAATAGGTTACTTCAGAACAAGAATGGAAGCCAGGAAAGTATCTAAGAAGCTTTTACCACAATCCAGGGAATTGGCTTGAACTAGGGTGGTAACAGCAGAGACACTGAGAAATGGTCAGTTCCGGATACAGACCAATGGTAAAGTTGACAGGATCTGCTATTGGACTGCATGCACAATGGAAGAGAAAGAGATCTATCAAAGATGATTCTAAGGGTTATAGCCCAATGTGCTGAAAGAATGGAGCTGCCATTTTCTTTGACAGGAATGTTTGGCAAAAAGAAGGGGAAATCAGGATTTCAGTCTGTGACGTGTTCCTTCCTGCAGAGATGTCTGGTAGGTGGTCAAATATACGAGCCTGGAATATAGGGAAGAGGCTCGGGCACAGGTGTAAATTTTTAAATAGACTAGGTTTTTAAGTCTCTGAAGCTAAATATGACCAATTGGAAAGTGAGAAGCCCAGGGACTGAGCCCTGAAAGGGTCAAATGCCTGGAAGGGGTCATGCTGAGAAGGAGCTAGTGAAGACCAAAGTGACTGCAAAGACCAACAGGATTACAAAAAGAGTCGGAACGAGTGTGGTCATTGTATGTGATCCATTTACCACACGGTAGCAGTCCTGTCTTCACTATTTCTTCTCCAAAAAATGGTGTTTAGAAATTTTATTGAACCAGTGTCCTGAACCAGTGTCCATTCAATTCTTCCAGCAACTTTAGGAAGTAGGTACAAATTAGAAGAACTAAGACTTAGAAGAGTTTGTACAAAGTTACAAAATAATAAGGGAGGGAGAGCAGGGATTCAACTCATTCTGAATAATGTGATAAAATAGCTCATATTTATAGAATTCTTAATATGTTCCAGACACTGAGCAGATACTATTTTAACTAGTTCTCACAACCCAATAAGGTAGATACTAATATTACTCAGATGAAGAAACTGAGTCTCAGAGAGATTATAAACCAAGGCTCACAGTTAAATATCACAGCTGAGATTAAATCACATATCTGCCTAAAATAGAGCCCTTTTTTAACAGCTACAGCTTGCTGCGATCTTACAGTCAGAATTCTTCCTTTGCTCTTCCGCTTGTCCCTCTGCCCTGCTTTCTGTGCCTCATCTCTTTCTAGAGTGATATTGCTCCAACTGCAAAGACCACTGCAATATTTACCTAGTGAAAACCATAGAACATACAACTGAAAACAGGCCCCAAAGGAAACAAGCCAGCTCCTTATAGCATTTCCTGTCTCAGGGAAGTATTTGAAAACGGTCATGACCAGCAAGCTGAGCAGTCTCTCTATGGCTTTTGTATGTGTGAGAAGTGTGTGTTTCCCTTCTTTTGAGCAAAATGACTTTTAGACTTATAGGAAGAAGGTGAGATATCATGTAAGCCTGTTATTTAAACTGTTAACAACTGGAATGGCAATTTGTTCCTGGCAATAAGAGAAAAATAATCTATTCCTTAGAAAAAGTAAAAACCCACATGTGGGTGACTTGAGAACATGAAAATAGAAAATTACAAGTTTAGGATTCAAAGTCTGGTTCTCCCTTTCTCTAATATTGTGTCCCTGAAGACTTAACTCCTTGAGTCTTTGTTTCTTTATCTGTAAAATGGGTTTAAAAATACCTGCCTTGATATACTCAAAAGAAGTAAAAAGAGAAAATGAATGTGAAGTTGCTTTATAAACTGTAAATCATTGTAAGTACAAATATATGTTCTTGGTGCCATTGTTCTTATCTCATTAAATCAGACAGGAAAATAAGTAAAATAGTTGGAAGTAGAAAGAGGGGGACTCGGAGAAAAAGATGAAGAAATAAAATCAGACTGACAGTAGAGGACAGGAAAGGAGGGGGAAAGAGAAGCAGAGGGGAGGAAAACCCACTTAATCTGAGCATGACCAAGAGCCTCTATTCTAGTCCTTCTACGTGTCCTTGACTCTAGCTGTGGTAACCTGTAGGGTTATATTGTATTCTCTTTGTCACTACCCTTATTATCAATACCTGCTATCAACAAAGTATTTGATGAAGACATTCCCATAAAATCATAGTATTTAGAACTGACAGTTTAATGTGACAACTGATATAACCATTTCAGGGAAGGATAAAGATGTGTGTGAGTGTACTTAAATGTGTGTGTGTGTGTGTCCGTGTATGTATATTTTCAAATCTCTACTTGTGGAATTATTAGGTCATCAAGGTTGATATTAGCAGAGGAGGCGAAGATTGTTCCAGAGCCCCTAATTTGTTCCATCAGTTAATTAGCACTGATGTCATCTTTATAACTGGATTTTTCTAAGGAATATACCATGGAACCAATGCCAAAGATTCCTCTCTGAATATCTTTTATGTCTCTAGAAAAAAATCATTTAAATGAGGAAAGAGAAGGGCTGCATTCTATAGCCTGTTATGAAGTTGGGGTCAAGATGATGCTTAAGTATACATCCTACAAAGATACCCAATCTTTTACCTTAAAATTATTATTGAAATTATGTTTGTTTTATTGCTCACTCTCTGGTTTCTGGATATCAGAAAATATCCTCTGTCTCCAAGCACCCACTTCTCTCTGACTTTTACTCTTGCTTAGTTGGAAAGATAACCCAGTCATGCCTGTGAGGTTGGTATATGATGGAGTCTCCACAGAGCCCCTGAAATACTCTGGAGGAAGTGCAGCTCAGAGCACAGTGCTTCATACCTTCAGTAATTCTTAGGCATTTGTCATAGCAAGGAAAGTGGTAAGTCAGACATTTTTCGCTTTCTTTCTTTTTTTTTAAACAAGGACAAAGAACAGAGGTGTTTTTACTAATTAATAAAACCAAGCGTAAACTAAAATGTCATGAAGTTTATATTTTTCTAGATCAACTAGGTAACTGTGTGCCTGCCATATGTTATTATGTCAAGTCAATTAATATCAGATCTCAGCAGGATATTAGGCTTCATTTCCAAATCTTAAAACATCGCTATATTTCTAGATGTTTACTGCAATTTTGTTTGAAGCCTTTTTGAAAGGACTCTTCTTTTCTTTAAAATTGGAGAAAGTTCTAGAGTTTGAAGGCTATGGAATTTTGTTGACAAATTTGGGTGTAGGTGGTGATGGGACTGAGTTCCTGCATTAAAGCTCTTCCTCACCAAAATGTGCAGCTTCAGGCCAAGTCTATTTAGACCAGAACAGGGAGGGATCAACTGTTTCAGAAGCTTGAAATTGTTCATTTCTTTCCCTGCCAGCATTAAGCCAAATGTTTAACAGCTGCCAAAAGCACTTCATAGTACAGAGTCTTAAAGTTGGATTAAAAAAAAAAAAAGACTAAACTTTGGCATCATAGGTCCAGTCTCATCCACAAAAGTCAGTTCTTTAGAACTATGATAACTTTTCTTGGGTTTTGACTTGGTAATGTTAATAGTTGACCTACCATGCATAACATTAAACACATAATGGATTACCTATAAAAGATTTATTTATTAACATTTCCTATAAATGTCTATGGATTAAGTTTTAAAATGACTTTAAGAGGGTATTATTAAAGTAGTTGCTCATTCTTTATCATCTTACTCTTATAAACTCTATTACTTTCTTCTTTATTAGCACTCCCTCTAAAACAAAGCATTTAAGAAACAAAATTCAGCAGAGTATTTGGCTACTCAGTTTTGGAGTGTATGCCTTACAGTTGTAGATATCTTCTCCTAGTGACTACTAGCAAGATACTTTACCCGCATTTGGTATATGATAAATATTTATACACTGGCTCATAGATATAGTTCCAATTCAGTGATCTGAGATGTACTTGCATCTTTTTTCCCTTCCTCATCTCCTATCAGTAGTCAGGAATGTGCATTTGAGTATTTGAAATCTACTAGCAAAAGAGCCAGCAAAATAGATCAGACAGGATGACAGCAACGATTTTTGCTGTCTTGATGTCTGGAAGAGCAGACAGGCTTTCTTATCATTCCATGTGAAGCTATGATATTATTTTGAACTATTTCTTTCAGCTGACGTTCTTCATAGAAGAAATCCAGTCAGCTCCTTCGCTGAGGGATCATGTCCAGTCCTCTGGAAATGGCCAACTTCTGACAGCCTATAACCAGTGTGTGGAGGCTCTGGCAGAGCTGCACAGCTATCACATAACCATTGTGACCAAATACCTCATCATAGCTGCAGCCAAAGCAAAGGGCAGGAAGCCAAGCCATCTCCTGTGGCCACCTCAGGCCTTAGAAGGGAGGGGCACAGGTGGAACTGCAGTTCTGAGCTTCCTGAAGAGTGTCAGGAATAAGACCTTAGAAGTAATCCTTCCCCATAGTGATTAAGAGAAGGCCCTCTCCTCAACAATACAAAACCAGCAAATGCAGGTTTTCCCTTAACTTCTTCCCATTGGAAGACAGGTAGGACTGGAGAAAGAGGGTCAGGGTTCTGTCTGGAATAATCTGAAAGGGACATCAGCCTAATTCATGTTTCTGCTCTATGGAACACCACCTTCTTCTTTGCTGAGACCTGTTAATCTTCACATTTTCATGGCCAGAAACTTTCTTTTCTCTACCTGATCACTGGTTAATAGTAAGCAACTTTGATACTCCTTCATTTGGAAGCCCACAGAGGAGAGAGGGTATTCCTATTTTGTATGCAAAGTGATAGAAACGCAATCTAAATTTTAGAAACCAAATATAATTGCCCACAGACAGATCACCTTGTTGATTTCTTGGAAAAAAATTAAATATTCATGCATTTATTCCTTCACTTAACAACTTAAATTCTTCCTAAGTACTGGCTTAGGGATTAGAACAGAGATTTTTGTGGTCCCAGTCCAGCCCTGGTCTCCCTGCATGTGCTGAATTTGGTGCAGGAGGTTGGAAATGCTCCAATGGAGATGCGGAGGAAAGAGGAAGCTGACAATGAGACTTGGAAGTTACCTGTATGAAAATGAATAGTTAAGATATGGGAATGGATGAGACTTTTCCACATGGTTCACCAATTTGCAAGTTCTATTTTAGTTTCCTTCTTGATTTTTGGAAGAATGCTTCTTTCTCCTTACATTGAAAGTTTGTATTTGTAAAATGAATTAATTGACATTTTGGAAGTAAATGAGCAAGGTGGAAATAAATAGTAAATTCATACGTTTATTCTACAAATAATTGTAACTTTTTATTTCTATTTCAAGGTCTCATTCCAACTGACAGTACAAAACTAGAAAACTTTAATCTTGCCAGTTTAGGATATAATGCATTAATTTAGGCTTGTCCCCACTGTTCACACACACATATATCTGTGATAATATCTAAATTCCAGAGCACTAACCTAGTATCATGGCATCAGGGAGAGGTACCTGACCATGGGAGGCAGCCTCTGCCCCAGTTAGCATCTACTAAGTAGTCTCCCTCCCCGTATGGGTACAGATCAAACGGAGCTTGTAGCATGTCTCATCCTGTCCAAGAGACTTTTCAGATTTCTCAGTCTTCAAGTTCCTATCATGCCACTTGGAAAACAATTTGACTACTTCCCACTCCTCCTGGGAGTATTGGGAGACTATGAGATTGGCTTAGAGTGTCTGCCCAGTACCCACAGCAACCATCTGCACTCTCTAGTGCTATGGTGATGGTGGGGGTAGGGGTGGATTCTGGACTCTTGTCAACTCTCAGAGTCCTTGGTAAGAAGTCATGAACCAGTATCTTCCACTTGGGGTACCAGGAAGGCTCCTACTATCCCATATCCTTCAAGGGCGTGGTCTGGCAAAAAAAAAAAAAAATGGTCAGATAGGATATGACAGGGCCTAGATCTTCTAGTCTGGGACAGCCAAGGGAAAACCCTGGGTCTGACAATATCCTCTGTGACTATTGTGTAGGTCAGGATCTCAGCTCAAAGACCTAGGCTTTCACAACTCAAAAAAACCTTTGTCTCAGATATGTTCTCTGTGTCTTGCGTTTGAAAAGTCTATTATAAAACTCAAATAATGAGCATGAATATATTTACTTTTCTTTGATTTGCTTTTCTAACTTCTGTACCTTAGCTTCCTGAAGAGTCAGTAAACCCAGACTGTATTAATTGCCTGGGCTGGGAATATGCCATGGTCCAAGGAAGTGGACTAAGTGGACTAGGCCAATCATTAGCACATTGGTTATTCATTCAAAACATTGTCCCTTCTTGATAACATTCTCAGATGAAAAGAATGTGACCTTTAAAGTAAGACCTGGGTTTAATTCTGAAGTTTCTTTTTTTTCTTCTTTTTCTTTTTTCTTTTTTTTAACAATGTGGCTTTTGGCCGATTTCAGAAAATGATGAATCCTCAGCTTTCTATTTCTCATAAAATTGAGTTGATCGGATTGGTCTCAGGGTGGATATAAGTAACAGAAAGGATAGTTCTTGGCAAGGAGGAAAAACCCATAAAACTTTATTTGGTTATGAGGTAGGGCTCAGAGAATCATGTAGATATCCATTCAAGAGAGAGTACTGTATTTCTCAAACTTCTTAGATTCACAGAGTCTGCACAGTAACAAAACAACTATTTATCATTGGGGATAAATACAAAGTAGAAAGTGTGGGCTTAGAGAGCTGAAAAATCTGGGTTTCTAGTGTAGCTTTATCACATTTTATAACAGACAAATTGTTTAATCTTTCAAAGCCACAGCTTACTTACTTGTAAAAGAAGGAACATTGTAATTACTGTGTGGAGCCAGTAACTATATATATATATATGTCATAAGAACCTTTGACTGAGAACTTAAGAAAAGATGCCAGTCACTTGAGTCCTTAAATTTAGGTTTGTGCCAAACCAGGCTCTGATTTGATCCTCAGAGTGAACAGAATTACAAATAGTCATCTTAATTTATACACTTTCAACAGATGCAAGTACACTCAAAGAGATCATAGAGTCTAACTCAGAGCAGATTTTCCATAAATGTTGAATAAGTGGAAAACCAAATAGATTAAATGGGGTGAAAGAGACATTTACAAAGTTTTATCTTTCAAAGTTTTCAGATGTTTCATTTATTGTTTGTTGTCATTGCACAAAGATGATATAAGTGCAAACTAAAGTATTTTATTTGCCAATGAACTAACTCCTAATTAATGTATCAAGTTTTGATTTCTTGAGCCAAGGAGTTCCATTTTCAGGTTTATGGTACAGTGGTGAAAATAAAGCTTCTAGTATAGAAGCGAACACATTTTTCTCAAGATTTCTAGAGATAAAGGGTATCCACATCAGTAAAAAAAAAAAAAAAAATTTTTTTAAAAAAAAAAAAGACTTTCTAATGGTAGAAATAATTTTTTCGTATTATTATGTGACGATGCTACTGCAAGCTTGAAGCTTGAAGAAATGGCAAAAGTATAGGCTTAGAAACTAGACAAATGCAGGTTTGAATCCTTACTCTGCTATTTACTTACAACATAAATCATTCATCTTCCTTAGCATTTCTGAGTCATAGAAATCACATGTGTAAATGAGGATAATAATAGCTACTTTGCAAATACCTTTGTGAAAAGGAAAGCTAAATATATGTTTGGTAGCTGGCAGGCCCAGAGTAAACGATATCAAATGTGATGATGTTGTATGTTCTCTGACTATCCCCTTGATCTAGATAAGAAAACAAGTGTAGACAAAGGAAACAGTAAGGGACGTGGGAAGCCTGTACTCTCCTACTCTTGTAAGTTCTGATGAGAACTTACAAGTTCTCCTTGGGAGAGGAGACCCAAAAGAAGTGCCACAGAAACCATTTTCTTGGACCATGTGTGGAATAATGTGTACATGTACATGGGTGTAGAAAGCAGAATTATGACTGAAAACAAAGAGTCTGCCCAATCAGCCCAGAGTCAGAACCCAGAACAAGTTTACCATGCTCTAGGATATGCAATTTTTGTTTTATAATGTAAGAACCAAGAAAGATGTTGTCACAAAAGCGATATTTTAAATTTATCTGGATATAATCAAAGCTAATTGTAGTGTCTAACACAGTAGTTTAACTATAACTGTAGAATAAATTGACACCCAAATTGAGTGGAATAGAGGTGATGCCTACAAATTCTTGCCTTTAAAAAATAGTTTCCTTCAGGATACTCAGCCTTACTGCCACAGACCAAGTGGAAGTGGAGGAAAATTCATGCTTTCTTTCTATCTAGGGAGTTTGCATCTTCAGTTATTGTAGAAGGTCAGTCTTACAAATAGATGGAGTATATACCATTTACATGTTCAACTTGAAAGTTCACCAAATTTATGCTGACTCATAGAGTCCTTCCTCAGTGTCTCATATTTGAGATTTCTTAATGAGAGCCTTGCAATAGTCTGGGTTTTTCAGAGAAACAGAACCAATAAGATGTGAGCGCGCGCGTGTGTGTGTGTGTGTGTGTGTGTGTGTGTGTGTGTGTGTGTGTGTTGAGAGAGAGAAAGATTTCAAGGAATTGGCTCATGTAATTGCAAAGACTGGCAAGTCCAAAATCTCTAGGGTAGATCAGCAGCCTGGAGACTCAAGGAAGAGCAAATGCTGTGGTTCAAGTCTAAAATCCAACTGTTGGCAGAATTCTTCCTTGCCCAGAGGAAGTCAGTCTTTGTTTTATCAGGCCTTTAACTGATTGAATGAGGCCTACCCACATTATAGAGAATAATCTACTCAAAGTTCACCAATTTAAATGTTCATCTCAAAACAAAAACAAAACAAAACAAAAACAAAAACAAACAAATAAAACCCTTACAGAAATAATCATGGCCTAGACAAAGTGATATATAAAATTAGCTGTCACAAGGTTCCAGTCAAGATGACAGAGTAGGCAAAGATTGTGCTCATCTTTTCCCATGACCACAGCAAAATTACAACTAAATTATAGAACAATCAATGTGGGGAACCATCTGAAGACTAGCTAAACAGAAGTCCTATAACTAAAGGTATAAAGAAGAAACCATATTAAGACTGGCAGGAGGGGTAGAGATGAAAAATGAACTGGCCACACAGCCATATGTGGTCGATGAGCATTGAGAGGGGATATCTCAGCTGTAGAGGTTCTCCCTGAGGAGCAATGTGTACCAGCTCCACACCAGGCTCCCCAACCCGGAGCACTCGTACTAGGTAAGCGAGCCACCAAAACATTCAGCTGTGAAAATCAGTGGAGATTCCACCAGTCTGAGTGAGATGGAAAGCTGCTGGAAACCCAGATGTCCTATTAAGGGGCCCATGCATAGACTTACTTGCTCGCAGGTACTCATCCTGGGTTCTGGAGGAGAGATGGTGGCTTAGGAGATACCAGAGACATATAGGGAGAAACTCAGTTGTGTGGCTTTGGAGAGAAGACTGGAGAAACAACCACCATTATACCCATGTTGAGACCC